GAACGTGAAAGCGAACGTGAAATTGAATTTTAAAATAGTGAAACGCGGAGGCGTTGATCACATTTATTTCTCGTCGATGACGACGATGCTGACCATCAAGGAGTTCGATGTTGATTTCGTCGCTGAGAATTTCGACAAGATCCTGCAGGACGCCGTGACTCAAGCTCTGAGCAGCACCCATCAGGAAGTGTTGGATGTCACCAAGCCGAATCTCGAAAAGGCCATCTCCGAGAGGATCCTTAAAATTGGCAACCAGATGTGCAAACATTTCACTTACGACGAACTACTTCCCGACAGGGAATAGAACTCCTTAAGCAATTTGTTGACCTTCGTTAATTATACTTGGACCGAGATCGTTCTGAAATATGTAAATATAGATTGTACATCGTGACAAAATTTTGTTACACCTATCGTATTTTTTATTTACCTTTTTGTTAATGTTGACTGTAATAAAATTTATAACACGAGGAGATTAAAGGGTTTGTTAAAAAACTTGAGGAAATCATTTTCAAACACAGTTCACAGAAGGTTTTGAAATTATCTCTTCATCGTCTTTCATTATAATTGCAATTATAGAAATATTTTCAAACGTGTCAATCGTGCCAATAGAAAAAAGCCAAATGTTGTACAAATTTCATTTTATTAATACAAACTAATCTGAAAAATTACAATTTATGGACCACTTCTAAAGCAGTCGGAAGAAAGTAAAAAACTTAAGCAGAGGAACTAATGGAATGCTAACATTAGAAATACATATTCGTAATACCAATACAGTCAAATTCCATGTCGTTAGCGAAAATTTATCAAATCACATCGTCACGTTACACGCGTGGGAAATCTTCTCTGTAAATTTCTAATTTTTCGATCAATTTGACATTTATCATAGTATCATATTTTATTTTCTATTCAAGTAATATCATGGAAATACTTGAGTTCCAGAATGCAGTTTGATATCGAGGCACTCGTGATTAATCCTAATCATCACGTAAGTCTATCTATGAAATCCATCTTCCACTTCAATCTCAAGTGTGGTAATCATGTACCTTCCAATGTGATAGCAGATCTCTGCATTTTACTCAACTCTTGGAATCATGTATTTAAAAGATATGATTTTAATTATTCAAGCATCGATTATGTGCTCGTTTATATATAATACTATTTTCACTGACGATGTCAATTCTCTTGCATCGGTGAAGTCCTTTGCCCTTGAGAAGATAGACAACTTTGAATAAAGTTCGATGAATCAAGATGTAAAAATCTATAGATAGACCAAAGTGACGTTCAATCCTTTCAAATCCTTCGATTTAATACCTGAGAGCTACGCGTCGGGGAATAGCGTGTCGTACGAGAACTGGCTTAGAACACTGTCCGCGATTTGTGTGAACGTGCTCGAAATCGCGCTCTCGAGAGCGGGTGTGAGTTCCTGTATGAAAGAATCGAAGTTGCTGTTGATAGCTCCGTTCACAGCTTCGCCCAAAGCTGGATCGCCACCAAACAAATTTTGCAATCTCAGCTTCCCGCCTCCTACGGCGATCTTCGTTTGAAGGGTGGACACCTTCAAGTACGTGTCACCGTCGGCGCCCTTCGTCTTCTCTAGTTGGAGCTTGACGG